TTGATCCCCGTGAGCACATAATGACACAGGAAAGTTCCTTGTCAATGAGGTAACCGAGTAATTGACAATTATTGAAGAATTTAGTAACAAGCATGTTCATGATTGGGTACTTGAGTGAACTACTATGTTTTTTATATATTTGTGGCAACGAAGATATCTGTGTGCAAACGACTGTTAAAATCGCTAGATTCAGGATGCTGTCCCTACATCTGAGTTTATTATTAGTAGCCTTTTAAGTGTGCGTGGTACCACTTAAATAAATTATAATATAATTGTGGGCAAAGCCTTTTTGGGTAGGGCGGAATTTGAAATGTGCCACAAATGATTTTCAAAAGCCTGTCTATAAGCAAATAATAATTGCTACTACGTATTCATATTCACACTCCTTTAAATTCCGAAATCAAATAGGTTTTTTTTTCAAAAAAAAAAAAAAACAATTTTCAATTCGAAGCCAAGCTAAATATGATAAATCAAGGCAAACATCGTGATTTGATCTAATTTTATAGAATTTTTTTTATCCTTTAAGTTAAGATTGAAGTTTGAATTTAAGATTTTTAATTTAAAAATGAATTTTAATACGATTCATTGTTGATTTTATACGTTTTTTTTTTTTTTTTTTTGTGTTCGTAACCTTACTAATTATTTACTGAAGATAATTAAGTTTATGTATTTTCAAAATTATATGATAAAATATAACAAAAAATTTAATTCAATTAATTTATATAATTTATATTAAAGTTTAAAAAATAACATCAACAAATTATAAGTTTGAATACTTATAATTTTTTAGTCTTAGGTTACAATCTCAAATTAATTTTTACAATTAAATTGTTTGAATAGATCGTTTACTCCCTATTCATAATATTTTTTTACACAATTTAATATATTTGTAAATTTAAAATTGAAAATTAAAAGAACACCCTATCTCTGTTTAGACAATATATATTTCACCAGAAAATAATTACTGGGAAATTATTAAGATAAATAATATAAGAATAACGCCATATATAAGAGGATATGAATGGGACACCGATCGTAAAGCACGTAACCGTGACATTCCCATCGGACAATTAAGAATGACATCGTTTGTTTGTCTCCCCTTTTGGCCCATAAATTTGGTGGCTGCCATAAGCACTTCCTTTTATCCCCCGGCAATGGTGCCCCCTTTGCGGGGTAACCACAAGTGGAATATGCTTTAAAAACATTTCACATACAAACATATGGTTCATGTACGAAGCATGGAAATTGAGACTAGTTGAATTTTGATCTCAAAGATTTGATTTTATCATGAAACTTTAATGTGATTTAATCATAAATAAATAAATATGATTTTATTTGAATTTTGCGATTGTGATTAAATTACGTCAAAATTTTATGATAGCACATATGAAATCATGCAAGCTCATGAGATTAGAATTGCGATAAAACTTGGGACTTTTATTTTCTTGGGCACTCTCTTATATGTATAAAAATATTTATGAAATTATCACTATCTGTCTAGCTCATTCACGTTTACACAAATATACTAGTATATGATACCAAAACAATTACCAATTGCCTTGCCTTGCCTGAATTACAATAGCCTAAACTCTAATGAAACACTATTGAAGTTTAAGTAAGATCAAAAGTAAGAGTGAGGAAATATTTGAAAAAAAAAAAGTTTAAATTATAAAATTTGATTTGGTTTTGATTAATTTTTTCATTTGATTTGGATAAATTCAGATATTAAATGGATATATTAAGTTCGGATTAAATTTCAGATCGAAATATAAAATATAAAAAAAATTTAACTGAATCAAATTATATATTTTTATATATTTTTATTATATATTTTAAATTTTTATAAAATAAAAATAATTAATATATATAAATTTATTTAAATATATTAAAAATCTTATTAATATAATATATAAAAAAATTTAAATTTTAAAAATTGATAAATTAAATCATATCTGTAAAATTCAATTCATATTAGATTAATTAAAAAATCAATTTAAATTTAAAAAGAAACCAAGCACATGGATCAAGTCGTACCGGGGGAAGTGCTTCCGCCTCTGAGTGTGTGAGGGTGAGAGAAAGTTAGGGAAAGTATTATAAAATACGCACTAGGTTGACAGTGGAGGATAAAGGTAGTATTGTCATATTTTCCATGTTTGATATCAGAAGCTACATTTTTTTATATATATATTTTCTCACCCTTTTCGTCTTTCAAACCTGTAATAGATTTTTATATAAGCTTGTCAATATGCTAGTGTCTGGCTTAAACTTGAACGCTAGAGGACAAACAAACAGGTCGAAGGCTTTGGCTACACCAAGAAGTTGAATCTTAGAGAGTACTCTGAATATATCAGACTTTCTATCTCTATTTCCCAAAAATAGGGGTCTTAAACTCCTTAAAACTAGATGTCGTAATATGATAAAAAAATAAAAAAATTATATAATTTAAAATTTTATTAAAAATCATATATGAATTTAATAAAATAAAAAATATATATTTTATTTTAGATATATATTTAACACGAAATATAATATAATAAGTTTCACATTTTTTACACACAAACTGTAAGACACGAATAGACAAATCTACTTAAAACACACGCAATGTCAAAGCGTGAAGACTATCAAAGAGCATCTCACCGTGTAGGAAGATTCCAAACAAGAAAAAAAACATATCGAAGAGGTGCAGTTCTTACCCTTTGAAATGCCACACCAAGAGCAAACAGACAGTTTGAGTGGTTGATTTCAGCTTTATGGAGTAAGAGGCAAAGCTCAGCGACAAGTAGAACCCTTTTGTTTTGACATAGATTTCCTGACCCCATTTTTGTTTTGGCTAGCTTTTAAAACCCCTAAGGTCATCGGTACGAAAGGCTCTGAAAAGATTTTTCAAATGAAAAGCAAAACGCCATTTGATTTCTCAACTGAGGCTTGAACAGTAGAGCCCGGTAGCACTTACAGCATTTGCCAAGTGGCTTATGACTTTTTTTTTTTTTTGTAACATATTATTTTGTGGGTTCATGTCAAATTTTCATGTGTGGTTGTCTTTTACAGTTGGCTTTACCAAAGTAATCTTACTACAAACATTCATGACCTCATTATTGGATTAGCATATATACTCAAGTCTTATGATTACATTGGCTGTCAATAAAACAAATCGTAGTTAATAGTTTTTTAATTAATTTTGATTATAGAATATATAGATCCTGCATTACTAAAAATAGCCTTCTGTGAGATATAAGCCAGGTTTGTGAGATAGTAAAATTAAACATTTCCCTCATCAATGCATCCTTTAAAATTGTGTCATGAATAAATGACCAATTATATAACAGAATCAGCTGATTTCCCTGTTCATTTTCCCAATGAATTGGCTAGCCTGGATATGTAAATCAAGAAAAATTATAATGCTGCATGTCAAAACTCTTTAAAAAAGCTATTACTATTCAATATTCAATATGATTGTAAGTCAATGCATGTACGAAACACTGATCTTAAGTACAACCCATATTAAATGCAGCTGATGGCAATAGTATCACATTTCTCTCATTTGCGTTCCCCTTTTACCATCATCATTTTTATCTTTATCCTCAAACAGTGCCCAGACCTCTTCCAGGCTCTTGTTTTTGGTCTCTGGCAGAAAGAAATAAAAGAACACTGTGCCCACCACCATTATTCCAGAAAGCACAAAAAACATTCCTCCAAATGTTATTTTCTTGGATATTGTCAAAAATGTCATGGAAACCACCCCACTAACCAGCCTGTTCACTGATATAGCCAGGCCTGTGCCCTGGGCCCGTAGCCGCAATGGAAATATTTCTGATGAATAAACCCATGTGATCGGACCGAGGCCAATCGAGAAGAAGGCAGCATCGGCACAGACAGCCACGATGCATACAATAAGAGCCCACAAAGGTTTGGTTTCCGAATGTTCGAGAAATTTAGAACCCATGCCCAACGCAGCCAAGGACACGGCCATCCCAATTGAGCCTAGCAACAAAAGAGGCCGTCTCCCAAACCTGTCCAAATAAAGAGCCGAAATCAACACAAAAGAAGCCTTGGCTACTCCCATGATGACATTAACACCGAAGAGCTGTCTTTTATTTTGAATGCCAGCATCCTTGAACACTGCGGGGCAATAGTATATAACAGCATCATTGCCAGAAGCTTGCATAAAAAAGTTAATCCCAATGGCTGCAATAAGAATTCGACGAACAGGTCTTGATGGGCTTAATAGAAGTTCCCTCCAAACCCCTTGGCCACGCCAATTGCTATTGCTTGAAGAGGTTGCTTGGCCTAAGTCCATAGCAGCAGCTTTGGTTATTTCACTGAGTCTAAATTCAGCTTCTTGAGAACTATCCGAGACTTTGATCAAAATCCTTTTTGCTTCATCTGTTCTTCCTTTCATGACAAGCCAACGAGGTGATTCTGGCATTGCTATAACACCAAATCCAATTGCAACAGCCGGTATTGCTGCGAAACCAAGCATCAGTCTCCAGTTTATGTTTTGGGGCAAACCTGATAAGGAATAGTTAACGATGTAGCCTAGGAGGATTCCAGAGACGATGAATACTTCGGGGAGGGAAGTGAGGAACCCACGTTTCATGGCAGGGGAGATTTCAGCTGTGTATACAGGAGAAATCATGAGGGAATAGCCGACGCCAATGCCAGCGACTATGCGGCCTAATAGGAGCATTGAGAAAGAGGGTGCAAACCCCATTAGAAGTGCACCTACTAGGAATGTCACTGCGGCTAGAACAATTGTGTAACGTCTGCCTATGTAATCTGAGGTTTTGCCAGAAGCAAGTGAGCCTATGAGTGAAAGTACATTCAGGCTACCAACTAAGATTTCTACTTGAACTGATGTAATTTTTAGGTTTTCTTTGATAAAGATCACTGCCCCACTCATGACACCAATATCTGCAAAAGGTATACAGAGCAAATCACCCAAAAATTTCAGAGATGATGAAAAAGGACTTTGATTTGAAGGCGTGCATGCAAGACACAAGAATTAATTAATTGTGGGTTTTGAATCTTTTGATTAGTAATCAAAAAGCAATTTTATTAAATCTCTATTTGGGTTCTTGACGATTTTAGGGGGAAAAATTAGATATAAGAAATGAGACAAATAAAAGTGGACTCACCATAGCCTAAGAGAATAGAGTTTGTAGAGGCCAAAAGAGCGCAAAGAAGAGTGTATTTGTTTAGACCAGTGGTTCCATGGCCAAAATCATCATACCCTGCCGCCTCCGTCTCATTGGCGTCCATTTGAGCTTCCTCTGCAGCCATTTTAAGCTTTTCCTTCCACCTTTTTTTTATTCGTCAAGTATTTTTGAAAGACACAAGGTATGTGTGGGGGAACTAGTGGCTTAAATGAGGAGTTCTATAGATTTAAAAATTTATAATTAGATATAATAAGATAAGTTATCATTAATTTTTTTTTTAAGTGTGATTGATCATTTAATAAATTTATCATTTTATAAATCTTCTAAGTTTGATTAAAGGTTCATAAAAAATAAGTTTTGGTTAACTAATCATAATATGGTTCGAAAGTTTGATTACATATGATGAAAATTATAGTATCCTTACATGTCCATATAAAGAATGATATTATTTTATTTTAAATTATCTTAAGTTTTTTATTCTAATGGTATTAAATTTAAATGTTAAATATTAAAAATAATTCTTAAAATTTTTCATCAATCTGGTAGAATTCTTAAAAATATTTTCTTACCTTAAGAGTATTCAAGAATTTTATTTGTTTTCTTAAAGAGGCTTCATTATCGGAAAAAGATTTAATCATTATTTTTATTTTAGTTTTTTTTTATAAAAAATATATCTAATTTTTCTACAATTTGAGTCAAATTACAAATATTTTTTGTCTAAAAATTTATTAAATAATCATCTATTTGTGATTACTAAAAAATTTTATCATTGGAATTTTTTTTTAATTTTTTATTTTTATTTCTAAATTTTTCACTATTTAGGTCTATTTAAAAAATTTTCTTGAAGTTTTATTTTTAAATTTTTTACTGTTTGGGTCTGTTTAGAAACAAACTTTTGTTAGTTTTTTTTTTTAATTTTTGGAAAGAAAATAATATAACAATTATATTTTGAAGTTTTATTTAAATTCTTTCATAATTTGAGATAAATTTAAAGAAATTTGTTATGTAGAGATTTTTTAAAAAATTTACTATTCAAAATTTTAAAGAATTTTATTATTGGATAATTGTCAAATATTTTTCAACCAATTTTTTTAAGTTACATTTTTTTATTTGAAAAATAATACAATTACTTTTATTAAAATTTTATCTAAATTATTTCATAATTTGGGACAAATTTAGAGAAATTTTTTGCCTAAAGATTTTTTTAAGAAATTTACTATTTGAAATTTTTAAGAATCTCATCATATGATAATTAGTATTAATTTCAAAATTTTTTTAAAAAAAATTATTATTGATTATTTTTTAAAATTAAAAATAAATATTAATTATTATTATTGAAACTTTATATAAATTATTTAACAATTTGGGACAAATTAAAAAAAATTTCTTAACTAAGAATTTTATAGAAATTAATATTTTGTAATTTCTAAAAATTTTCATCATTGGATAATTAGTATTTTTTTAAAAAAAATTTATTTTGTTTTATATATTTTTTAATTTTTTTTCTAAATTTAATCATGCAAAAATACTTTAAAAACAAATACACAAAGAAATAAATAAATAAATAAATAAATAAATAAATAAAATACCAAGTAATCAGCTTGGCTCCAGCAGCTAAAAGGCTTAGCTAGAGACACAGATGCCAGTTCCAAAGATGTGGCTCAGTGTCTCGATATAGCTTGGCTTGGCTTCAAGTTTCAACTACTAGAAGCGGGTCACGGATTGGGTCACCCACTAGAAAATGTGCAGATCTTGAGGGCTACTTAACCTCTAAAATGCTACCATTTAAGCCTGAATATAAAAGGCCAAATTTTTTCTTTTTCCTTTAGATTTCTCTTTTTTTTCTCTCTTTTCTCTTTTCTCTCCCTCTCTCTTTAAACCAAGAACACCTATTGAATCTTTACCGGATTATGAAAACTCTTGTCAAAATCTAGATTGAGTCGTCGAAAGTTCATCAGTTTCTAGAAAACTAATGTCGAAAACTGGGAATCTCATTGAAATTTGGGATGTTGTTAGAAAGTCATCAAATCTTCAAAGGTTGTCGAAAAATTTCACCAAAAATTGGGATTTTCAGAAAAAAATTTTCTTTTTAAACAAAAAAATCTCTCAAAAATTTTTTGTATTTTATGGCTACTTTTTGTTTTGTTATTCTGCCTCGATCATTTATGTTTTACTGCTTGGTGTGGGTCTATATTTATAGAGTTTAAATCCAGATAACCTTAAACTAAAAAAGGTTTTAATTTCTTTTAAATTTTAACTCCAAAATTTAAGTCCAATTCAAACTCTTTAATCCAAACAAACGGGTTTCACACAAACTCTACCTCTTGATTTTTCCTTTTTCCTTTTTTTTTGTTTTTTGTTTTTTATTTTTTGTTTATTTTTATTAACAAAATAATTAGAACCCTAGACAAATTGGGATGTCTACAGTTACTCTTATTTGTGTATTTTCTTTGAAATAAGAATTATGCAAAAACGTAGATAACCCTTATATCCAAGTAATCAATTTGACAATTTTTTTTATTTTTTAAATGGATATCAAACCTTTCGAATAACATAAAACTCCTCTAAACAGAGGCACAATGACTTTCAAAAATAAATAAGGCTCCTCTAAACAGAAGCTTAATGACTTTAAAAAATAAATAAGGCTCTTCTAAGTAAAAGCTCTATAACTCTAAAAAATAAATAAGGCTCATCTAAGCAAATGTTAAATAACTTTTGAAAAATAAATAAGGCTTTCTAAGCAAAGGCTCAATAACTTTGAGAAATAAATAAAGCTTATTGCTAATCATGTCTAGAGGTCTTACAGATTATCAAAAAAAATTATAAGAGATTATGCCTATAGGTTTTACAAATCGTTGCTAATATTAAGAAATATCCTTTTCAAGGATCCGAATCTTATCTTAAAGGTTTTCTTTTTGCAAATGAGAATTTGAAATTCTTTCATTGAAAAATTTTCATATCTATCTTCTTCATGTAGGATCTTGAAATATCCCTGCTTCCTAAATTCATGCATTAGATATTTTTAAATGCAATGCATGCTATGTACTAAATATTTAGAAATATAATGCATGGTATGCAAATGTCAATTAATTAATTTTTTTTCAATTACGGTACTCAAGTTTTTCAAGCTTTTTCCTTGGATCTCGAACTCTTCAATCTTCAAGTACTAAGACCAAATCGATTTAATTCTTAATCATCTTTCCATATTTCTTTTTTAAAGAAATCTTTCCTCCCTAAATTCAATGTCTTTACCAAGAGCTGAACATTTCATGTTTGCCTTTACCACCCTCAACCTTTCTAAGGTAATATAAAAAATCTTTCATGTTATTATTCATTTATCAATCATTATTTCAATTTCAAAAAGTAAAAATGCAATCTCACATTTTTTTCGTTGCAAGGTATTTAAGGGAAAAACCAATGGATGGATTGGGAATAAATTGAAAATAGTCATTAAAAGGGAGACACAAGGAATGAAATGAAATATATCTTAAAAAAATGGTAGAACAACTTTGGCCATTAATAAAGAAGAATGGTTACAAAATGGGTATGGGTAACAACACCTAAAATAAATAATCAGATAATCATGATAATACATATTCAAGTCTTTTCGAAAAACTCAACACCTGATACACCTAACAACTTAGAGCTCATCAAAACATGCTAGCCTCTATATTAGTGAATTTTTAAATTTGATACTGTACCCTCATCATCTAAGCCCATTTTTCAGGTTTTTAACTTAAATGAATCTCTTTTAACCCAAACTACCATGTTGGGGTTTTTGAATTGAGTCTTTCTTTTTTTCATTTTTTTCATTTTTTTAAGCATAGTATTTTTTCATAGTATTAGAATTTATAGGATTAGGCAAATCATCTCCATCCACCTCTGTTAATATTAATGCTCTATTCAAGAAAGATCTTTTCACTGCATATGACCCTTCTCAATTCGGAGTTCATTTTTGTCTATTATCATGCTGGCTTAAAAAATTTCTTTTCAAAACCAACTCTTTTTCTCGGAAACAATGAGGTTGGACTTTTTTATCGTAAGCTTTCTTCATTCTTCTTTGATATAGCTGATCATGACACAGCACTGTCAATCTCTTATCTTCAATGAAATTTAACTGCTAGTAGCATTCTCGAAGCCATTTAGCTTCTTCTAGTCCAAACTTCCTTTAAAACTCTCAAGGATAAGATTTTTACTTCAACCAGTAATATAGCTTCCATCCCATAAACAAAAAAAATAGGGTTGTCCCAATAAAGATACGTACTGATGTTCGATAAGTATAAATGGCAAATGGTAACTTTTTATGATAGTCTTTATAAGTCTCAATCATTTTAACAAGAATTCTTTTTATATTCTTGTTTGTCACCTTGATTGCCCCATTCATTTTTAAGCGGTATGACATCGAATTATGATGTTTGATCTTATACTTGGCACATATTTTTTACATCATCTTATTGTTCAAATTCTTGGCATTATCTAAAATAATTTTCTCTAAAAGTTTATATCTATAAATAATCTTTCTTTTTATGAACTTACAGATCACAGATCATGTCACACTTTCAAATGAAACTATTTTAACCCATTTTGTGAAATAATCTATCATCATGAAAATGAACCCTTGCCCATTAGAAGCCTTTAGGGTAATAGGACCAATAACATCCATACCCCACGTGGAGAATGGCCAGGTTAGTGCCAAAACATATGAAGCAGTCGATGAAGCATGGATCTTATCAGCATAGATTGACACTTATGACAGCTTTGAGCATAGTCAATGCAATCTCTTTTCATTATCAACTAATAATACCCAACTCTTATGATCTATTTTATCATCATATGTCCATATGTATGTGCCTCACATATCCTATCATGCACCTCCTTAATAATTTTTCTTGCATCAATCGTATTTATGCATCTTAATAATATTTGATCACGGCTTCTTTTATACAAGATATTATCATCCAGTAAGAAACTTATAGTTAGTCTCTAGATAACTCTTTTATCATTCTTAGTTGCTTGGACTGGGTATTGCTGATTCTTAATGTATTACAAAATATCATAATACCATGATTTTTCATCTTTCTTTTTTTCTACATTAGAACAATGAATTGGTATATTCTTAGCATTTAGCTTGATGGGCTAAATATCGGTATTATCATTAATTCGAATAATTGTTACTAGAGTAGCCAAGGCATCAGTAATAAGAT